GTGTCGTTGAACGTCGCAGGCCCCCAATCAAGTTTTCCCGCTTATTTTTGTTGGTTTTCTTCTTCTTCTTCTTCCTACTGTTGGTGTTGGTGGTGCCATTGGAGTAATTCACTGCCATCGCCACACCGCCACCGCATGCAGAACTCCAACCGCCACCTGCTTCTCTTCTGCTGCCGCCTTGTCGAGACCCCGCCGATTCTCACACACGCACACACACGGGCATGCACTCTATCTCTCTCTCTCTCTCTCTCTCTGTCTAGATTCAACCCCACCGTTTGAATGTTCATTCCGTTTCCTCATTTATTTATTTTTTTCGCCCTTTTCCTTTTCGTTTTGGCTTTATTTTCGTTTGCGTTCCCCTCAACATCCATCCTCCTCGCTTTTGCTCAGATTTCAATCGACCACCGCCGTGGTGCCCCGTTCCTTTTCGCCCCCTGCCGTTGCTGTTTCGGACAAAGAGGAACACCGACCTCAAATGCGCTTTGCGGGTTTCTTCTTCCCCCCCGCTCTCCCTCTCAGCAGAGTTCCGACATCATAAATGCCCGTCTCCGACGGGAGCCGCGGCAATCCCGCCGCCTCCGCCGCCGCTTCATAATTTGTGTCGAGCCACGGCGCCTCTATCTTCCCATTCTTCGTCGCAACGTTCACCCAATGGCCCAGCAAAAAGTACTTGCACTGCAATAGTTCCACGGCTGTTGGGCGCCTTGCGGGGTCATACTGCAGACAAAGACGCAGCATCGCCTTACACTCCTCCGAGAGTTGCGGCGGCAAGGGGACTACGTTATCATTTTTAAAAAGGTATCGCTTAATGTTGGCCAGCCAAGCTGCATCGTACTCACTTTTTCCTTGCCGAGTGCGGGGCGGCTCCATGTCCGTGGGGCGTTGGTCCGCAAAGAGACCATCATTTGGAGTTGTTAACTCTATAAATGTCATGGCAAAGGCGTAAATGTCACTTGCAGAAGTAAAAGAAGCTCCCTGAACGTTCTCTGGTGCCAAATGTGTCACACGTCCCAGTTTATGCACATCTTTATCGCTATCACCGACAAGGATGGGACGGACTCGGCCATAGTTGCCCAACTTAATCAATGGCTTCCGTGAGCGACGCGCCAAGGGGCTCTTTACAAGGCCGCCTTCGTGCCTTTCATGGTGTCCACTATTACCTGCCAATGCATCAGGGTTCATTTGTTTTAAACTCTCATCGCCTTGAGGACAAACAGAAGTACTGCTGTTTTGCATGCTGCTCATGATCCTCTTGATGGTGTTTTGGGAATATTCACCTGAGACAGTTTGGTTTAACAGTAACGGAGGAATGGAAGGCAATAGCGGTGAGCGTGAAAAAGAACCGTTACGCAAAATTGTGACCCCATCTAATTTTGGACTCATAAAGACGTTACCCCCTTCCAAACTTGAGAGTGGGGAGGGAAGCGGTATGTTGTCATCATCGTTGTAAGAGTGCTCCTGCAAGTACATTCTCACCCCCTCATCCACCCAACGGCAGCGGTCATCCTCCGCTTCATTTTCGTCTGCATTGTTCTGCCTATAGTTATTTTCCGCCACCGCTGCTGCTGCTGCTGAAGCTACTGCATGGCCGGATGTTATGGTATGGAAATGATGCCCTTGTTCTTCTTCCACACGAGTGGTGGGTACTGCGGGCGACACTTCTGTTTCGCCATGGTTTTGCATCCCCGAGGCTTCCACCGACGGAAGCCAGCCGAGGTGTGTCATGACACTGTCGTTGTGTACTTTGTCAACTTCCCCCGAGCAATACTGTGGCTGCATACATGCCGGATCCATAAGTGCCAACACACGACGTACCCACTCGGCCGGCACCGTTGCAAATTTCCCGGCCGGAATATCTGCAATGTACGCAGGAAAACACGTCGTGTAAACATTTGTGATGTGATCCGAGATGTAAATATTTTTTGCACAGAGGTCTGCATGAACAACGTCATTTTCATGAAGAAACGCCAGCGCTATAAGGACCTCGCGAAGATATGCCCGCACGGTAAGTTCATGCATGTACGTCTTACCAAATTTTTTAGGAATTTCGCTAAGCAGCATGTTACGCAGTGTGCCGTACTTGGCGTACTCCATGTAGATCCGCACCTTTTCGGGTATTTTATGAGAGTTACCCGCGGAACTTCTATCCCCCTGTTTGCGGAATCCATGCTTTTTACTACCACCTGCTACCCCCTCACCTGCAAAATGACTTGCCATTCCCTTGAAAAGTTTCAGACGCCTCCCAGTATCGTTCTCCGTTGTCGAAGAATCCTCATATACCGCCTCCATATGAAGCACCTTCAATAAACGCGGACTAAATGTTAGGTGCGTCAATCGTTTTACTTCCTTTCGCAATTGATTGTAGATAAAAAAGGCGCTATCACCAGCCAATGCATATTCCTTGCATGCAATCAGGTACCTGCGGGAGGCGGAATGTGTTGCGTCCAGTAAATTCGCCTTCGTGCTTCCCAGTGAGGCCCCATGAGACAGATCCTTCCTGGGATGTAAGTGTGCCTCAATGCCGTTCTTTGCCAGTGCATCGGCGGTTGTACTTTGCACCGTCATATCCGCCAGCATTACTCTACTGAAGTATCCTTGGCCAATGACATGATTGAGGGGTGACACCTGGTACAGCGTCAGGGCCTCGTCGTTACCCACATTTTCTGGAAACCCTCTTTTCTTCTTGGTATGACTGCTGCCAACGGGTGTCCCCGGAAGCGGGGATTTATCCAAGGCTGCGGGGGGTGCGCAGAAGATTTTCCGTCCCTCCTCCAACTGGGCATTGTACCATGTCACCAGTTCCTTGTCGGGGGAGAAGGGCGGAATCTCCGCGTCCGCCACGACGGGCTCCCCATGCCTCTCTGAAGGGTTCTTAAGAGGGGATCGCCTCCTTTGTTGGGGGCCGCCCCACTCCTTGGTTCTTGTTTTTGACTGCGAGCAGCCCATTTGGTGCCCTCTCGCCGTTAAAAAACTAACCGACAGAAAAGAAAGGGGAAACAAAACAAATATATCTGTATATAAGAAGGAGGCACCGTTCACTTCCCCCTCGCTCTCTTTTTTTTTTTTTTTTTTTTTTTACCTCCACAATTTCATTGTGGTCGCAACGAGACGTGGACGCATGCGTGTCATGACCGGAAACAGAGGGAGAAAAAAAAAAAAAAAAAAAAAATTTATTGATAATAAAAAATAAAATGAAATAAACACAGAAAAAAGGAGAGAAACGAACAGAAATGCACCTTCGTAGAAAAAATAAAAATGTCTACAAATGAAAAAAGCAATATATACATATATATCACTGATCTTTGTCTCACACGCAAAGAGTTTTACGCCCATTGTCAGTTTTATCCGCTCGCCCCCCACACCATGTCTGTTTCTTCTTCAGTTGCCCGTTGGATCCAACGCAACGGAATCCGCCTTCTGCTCTCGGCGCAGTGCGTTCACCACAAGCCAAAGCACACACTCACTTGTTTCAATGGGGAAATCGGAATGGTCAACATCGTCTGTAAGATGCGGGCCTTCACTGGCGGCGGAAGCAACGGAAGGGAGTGCCGCAGTGGCGGCATCCGGGGAAAGAGGATGCAGCGCCGCCACAGCTCTCGCACGCATACTCTGCCAACGCGCCTCATCTCGTTCTTCTTGCTGCCGCCGAGTGACAAGTAAATTCCTCGTCGCACGAGAGCTTTCCTGCATAAAGTTCATGATCGCCTGAGCAAAATGTCGATACAACCCGAGCCTTTCCTGTGGATAAAAATAACGCATGAACCACTGCTCCATGTGAAATCGCAGCAACGGAGAGGCAGAGAGTGTGTGAACCAACACTTCGGTCTGTGACTGCGCCTGAGTAGTGACGTGAGGGAAATCCCCAATAAACGGCCAATCCCGTCCAATTGTGCCTGTGAAGATTTGCTGCATAACTGCTGCCAGCTGCTCCAAAGTAAAAGGAACCGTTGCATCCGCGACTCCCGCAGAGTGATGGTACTCTCTGTTATTATTGGCCATGTCACAGCCGCCGCTCATCGTCTGTTGCTCTGTGTACTCACGTATAACCGCTGTGGAGAGATGTAAGATAGTACTCAACGGCCTCTGTCGCCTCATCCACAACTCCTCTCCTCGTTTCGCCACGCACGAATCCCTTTCGTCTTCTTCGTTGTCGTCGTTTTTGTCCCCCTCCGCCGCTTCGGCTGTCGACATGACGGGTGGCCTCAACGCGGTGACAACTGCGGCATCTGCGGACTCCCTCGTTTGTCTCCGCACCGCGGCTTCCAGAGAGGAGAGCGCTGCTGGCGTTGCACCACACAACCGCCGCTCCGGCCGCACCGCCAATGACGCTCGCTGGAGTCGACGATCAAAATCGTTCAGCCTCGTCATGACGCGCTCGTAAAACTCCACAAGGACGACTCGCTTGTACCACGTACGAACAACCAGCCGCTCCCACAACTCCCCCAACGCGGCCCTCTGACGCAACAGGAGCGCCACATCGCGGTGCTGTGTGGATAACGTCCGGCTCCGTTGTGCCTCCATCTCGTATTGGGAGGTGACGGGCCACGGATGGCGGGTGCTCGCCGAACAAAAACTGTCCGCTGCCCCAGCCGCATCCGCATCGCCTGACAAAAGCCTGGACGCAAGACGTTGCTGCACAAGAATGGCGCGGTGCAATTTTCGGGACTCCGAGTGAAGCGTAGCGGCTGCGTCCTCGAGTCGGTGAAGTGCTGCCATCGCGTCATGGCCCTCGGAGTCACAAAGGCTGCAGTCCGTGCAAGGCTGCTGCATATCGTGACGCATAAACGTCAAGTGGTCGCCACCCAGGCACACACACACACGCAGAGAGAGAAATAGAAATAGAGAA